ACGGGGATTTTTTTGGCCGAACCTACGGGCTCGGGAACCCCACATCAAATTCGACCTTGTGCCACATCCTACCTCGTGGGGAGGCGGGTAAATATTTCTTGCTGGGACCAGTTGAGTACGACTCAAACTTACGCAAGAACTACCGACCTTCCAATAGTAGCACTCACTAATGGATTGACTTGCGACGACCTTGCGCATAACTGTTCTTATTTTATTGGTTTTTACAATTTACTTATTTTATCCACCGTTTTTTTCAAGTATATGTTCCTATTAGCACGGAATATAACAATAGCTTAATGGTAAATCATGCTTGGCTTGGAAGGGGTTTCTCAGATTAAAACAGGGAAATGTGTTTGATTTCTGATTAGGGTGGGTGGATTTTCTTGGATTATAAAAAATCTAATATTTGATTTAAAATAATTTTCTTTAGGGGTACGCAGATAATGATAGCAGATACAGACTTCGAAAGTATATTGAATTAAGAAATTATATATAAAGTCGCTATTTTGTCAGTAACACCACCAGAATACTTTTCTTCTTCATTTACAGTGCATATTTTAAAATAAGATCATAAGGTATCAGTTTACATTGTGCGAGGGTACGCTGAAAATTTTTCTTCCCAAAACTGACCAATCAAAAATTTTGTTTTGTCTGAAACAAGAACTTTTCAGTGCATCCTACTATATACACTCGGTTTGGTTTGGTATGTTTTACGGCATATCAACCATAATGGGTTATTTATTGCCGACAAAATTTTTATTGCTGGTAATATGTTTTTTTAAAAAAGTATTTTTGGTAATATTTTTTCCAAAAATGTATTGCTGGTAATAAGTTTTTCTTAAAAAAAGTTATTGTTGGTAATAATTTTTTTACAAAAATGTTTTACTGGTATTAAAACCTACTTCTACACATTTTGACCCCAGTTTTGGAGTTAACTATTTGCCCATAGCTAGAGCTTTAACAAGTGCTACCACCCCGGTTCAGGGGGGACCTGGAAACATCAGCAATGAAGAGGTGGTTCCACGCTCCTCAAAACCTCCTGTTCAGAGGCCTTGCGGTCGGATGTAGTTTATCGTCTTACCCAGGACGCGGATGTAGCTTATCGTCTTACCCAGGACGTCATATACTCGGATTAATGAATTAATTTATGATCTCTAACAATGCCGCTCTCCTTTATTTGCAACGTATTTCTATTAGAAAATAATTTGCAATGATACCTCTAAGAAAATGATTTGCATTGCTAACGAAGACATGAATAAAGTATTTCCATTATAGACTATGATTTCACCACTAACAATCCGTTTTTCCTTATTTTAAATCCACAAATCATATAGTGAGTGCCGAAAGTTGATAAAAAATGCTTCTATGTTCAGTGTCTTTTCAGAATTTGGTCGATTATGGCCCTCCACTACTTCTTGTACATTGTAGCTCTAAACTCGTGTTTCTTAACCATTGTAGCATAATTTTGGTGTCAAAAAGATTTAGGCCCACATAAGCACAAATAGAACTTACACGCAACAGAAAATGCATTTTATTTACAAAAGAAAAATTTAGTAGAAAATATAAATCCCTAAAAATGACTACACTGCTCCTGGTGTCTATCAAGCTTGTCAAGTTAAACTTCCAAGCCAGGGAAGTTTAAATCAATTTTGAAATATAATTTATTCTAAGAAGAAAACATCGAACTGAATTATTTGCCATTAAAACAAGTAAGTCAAGCAGTTTGCGTTTTGATAATTTTACGCCAGTGGGGAAAAATAGAATTTCAAAGCCCACTTATTTTCCTTGGTTTAACTCCAGTCCTATTTTAAAACTTTTTTTGAGCCCATTTGAGCCCACGTTGAGCCCACGTTGAGCCCAAGTTGAGCCCAAGTTGAGATTCAATGCAAACGATGTTTGTCACCTTATGCCTCACAGTCTCTATTCTGTAAACCGCTTACACAAACTCTTTAGGCAGGGTACTTGATATATCCATTTGTCCACTTTGACTTCAAAATGTTATGTGAGTTTCAAATTCTCCAAAATACCTTCTTCAAATTCTCTAAACAACCTTCATCGAATTCTCCAAATTCAATTCCTCAAATTCTGCAAACTCCCATCCTTGAATTCTTCAGATTCCATCCTTCAATACTCCAAATTCCTTCCCCCAAATACTCCAAAATCCCTTTCTCAAATTCTCTTCCTCAAATTCCCCAAACACCCTGTCCTCAAATTCTCCAAAATCCCTTCATTAAATTCTCCAATCTTGCTTTCTGCAAATTCTCCGAATTCCCTTGCTCAAATTCTCCAAAATCCGTATCTCAAGTCCTCCAAATACCCTTCCTCATATTCTCCAAACGCCCATTCTTCAATACCCTAAACTCCCATTCTCAAATTCTTCAAACTCTCTTCTAAATTCCCATGCTCAAATTCTCCAAATTCCCGTCCTCAGATTCTCCAAACTGCCTTTCTCCAATTCCCAAAACTCTCATCTGAAAATTCTCCAAATTCTGTTTCTCAAATTCTCCAAGCTCACTTTCTTCAAATTCTCTCAAATCAATTTCCTCAAATTCTCTAAACTCCCTATCTCAAATCCTACAAACTCACATCTTCAAATTCTCCAAACTCCTATCCTCGATTTCTTCAAAAACCCTTCCAAATTCCATCTGCTCAATTTCTGCAAATTCTCTTCCTTAGATTCTCTTATTCTCCAAACACACTTCCTTGAATTCTCCAAATTTCCATCCTCAAATTCTTCAAACTCTCTTCTAAATTCATTTGGTCAAATTATATAAACTCTCTTCCATATATCCCCCAAATTCCGTTCCACATATTCTCCAAGCTCCCTTCCTCAAATTCTCCAAATTCCCCTCCTCAAAGTCTCCAAACTTTTATCCTCAGTTTCTCAAAACTCCCTTTCCTCAAATTCTCTAAAATTCCTTCCTTAAATTCACCAATCTTGCTTTACGCAAATTCTCCAATCACGTTTTACGCAAATTCTCCAAAATCCCTTTCCTCAAATTCTCCAAACTTCATTTCTCAAATCTTCCGGATTCCCTTGCTCAAATTCTCCAAACATTCTTCCTCCAATTCTCTGAACTCCCATCTTAAAATACTCCAAAATACCTTTCCTCAAATCCTCTAAACTCCCTTCCTTTAATTCCGCAAACTTCCATCTTCAAATTCTCCAAACTCCCATCCTCAAATTCTTCAAACTACAAATTTCTATTGCTCAAATTCTCCACATTGCCTTCCTCATAGCCCCCAAATTCTCTTTCTCATATTCTCCATACTCAATTCCTCGAATTCTCCAAGATCACTTTCCAGAAATTCTCTAAACTCCCTTTCTCAAATCCTCCAAATTACCTTCCTTTAATTCCTCAAACACCTATCCTCAAATTCTTCAAACTTCCCTCTGAATTCACTTGCTCATATTCTCCAAAATCCTTTTTCTCAAATTTTCCAAACTTCCTTTCTCAAATTCCCCAAATTCCCTTCTTCGGATTCTCCAAACTCTCTTCCACCAGTTCTTCAAACTCCCATCTTTAAATTCACCAAATTCCCTTCCTCAGATTCTCCAAGCTCCCTTTCCAGAAATTCTCCAAATTTCTTTTCTCAAATCTTCCAATTTCTCTTCCTCATACTATCCATTACTCAGATTTTCCAAACTCCCATCCTCAAGTTCTCTAAATTCCCTTCCTTAAATTCGCCATGTTCACCTATTCAAATTCTACAAACTCCCTTCCTCAAATTCCTTTCTCACATCCTCTAAATTCCGTTCCTCGTATTCTCCAAACTCCCTTTCTTCAAATTCTCCAAACATTCTCCAATTCGCTTTCCCCAAGTTCTTCAAATTTCCTTTCTTAAATCCTCTAAATTCTCATCTTCATTTTCTCCAAACTTCCATCCTCAAATTCTCTAAACTCCATTCTTCAATTTCTCCAAATTCCCTTTCCTCAAATTCTCCAAACTTCTTTCCTCATTACGTGTCCCAGAAATTTCATTCCTTTTTATAAATGCAACTGTCCTTTATGTTTCCATTTTCCTTAAAACTTCCTTATTGCTCACATGCTCCGTTCATGATATTCTATCTCAGAATCCTTCAATATCCTTCTGTAGAATCGGCTCTTGAAATGAAAACAGTTCAGATCTTTCTGTTGACGAGTACTCTATTTTCTTAATTACTTAAATTAGATTTATTTTATCTTTTCCTTTTAGACATCTCCTCCGTCCAGCCTTAAATTGTTTTACTTTTTAATGAGTTTCTGTTTCTTCTATCAACAGACAAACTTTTTAATCTGAAGGAATGCCAATATCTTTCAGTGCGCCCTCGTCGCTACCGAATGTGACACGAGGTTATTTTAAAGCGAATTTAAAGGCAATACCGTGGTAAAATTGCTCAAGCCCATACGGCACTCTTCTTTTTGGGGACGCCTCAGGTGTCAGGCCAGTCTGGGCGGAAGGCTCCCTGGGTATATTCTGAAAATTATTTGAATCTCCCCGAGCCAAAAGATCGAGAAATGATTTTATTAGTATAGCTTAGACGTGGCACATTGGCGAAAGCGTGGAGCACCAAGTGAGGACTAGAACTCACAACTGAATCATAAATAAAACTAGTTGCTAACCATTGCACCACATCGGAGTACACTGGACCTAGACGAAAGCGAATCACAGTTTCGTTGTGTATTTATTTATTTATTCCCTCTCATTAATGTGTTCTTAACGTTGATTGGTTGTTTTTGCTTAACGGCATATCAGAGTTTATACGTCATTTAATGCTGAAATTTAAATATTTTGTACAATTTTTTTAGATAATAATGGCTGTTATTTTCCTCCTTGCTATGGGTTAATTACTAATTAACTAATTAAAGGAGGAGAATAGGTGGATTTATACTTTTCTTAATCGTATTTGAGCGTAAGTGAATATAACGAACCCAACTGGAATTGAAACTCCGCTATCCTTTTAACAATTCCGAGCCATTATCCATTACACCAGCCGCACATCAAAGCTTACTGCATGTTGATATTCCCAGGCGGTCAGCCATCTAAGTACTGATCAGGCTCGACGTTGCTTAACTTCGGTAATCGTATGGGAATCGGTGTTTCAACGTGATGTGGCCGTAAGCCTGTTTTGAACGTCCTTGCTAGTGTATGTTATTCAATCTGAACGGTGCCTCGTAGCGTCGAAGGTTACTAATTGTTCCACAGGATGGGGTGATTGGCTCTACTCACAACTTCTACACCCTTAGGGAAGGGGTGGTTTCATGCCGAGGTTTTTCCTTCTCTTGAACGACCATGTGTCTCCATGCTAAATATCTGCATCTACCCAGGTATGGAATCGGAATTTTTCCTTCCAAGGCTGAAGAGCCTAGTCTTCCCTGCCACCGTCTGGGAGAAGAGGGGATGCATTCATACATGGGGTGACATGATCATGGAAACTGTAACTCTTCCATTTCAAGGTTATTTGTACAAAAAGAAATGCAACGAATTCGGCCAGGATTCGAACTCAGAGTGCTAATTTTTCGTTCATGGCCGCTAACCATGGGACAACCGGCACGTTTTCGTTCGCAAATATAAACATGAAGACACGATTTAGCACGTGCCTCGATACCCGTTTGGGTACAATTTTTACGTTGAGGGTTACTTTTAAATTCCAAGTTTTTCTTACATTTCTAATTATTTTCGTTACTTTTTTTTCCCCATTATGGAAACATTATGTTGAAACACTAGCTACCGAATGATTACCTAAGTTAAGCAACGTCGAGCCTGGTCAATAACTAGATGAATAGCCGCTTGAGAATATCAGGTGCTGTCAGCCTCGATTTGCCGGTAGTGTAATGGATAATGCCTCGGAATTGCTAATCGGACAATCATCTTCCAATTCCAAAATAACTCTTGGGTAATATATGAATCCGTCTCTTTTACTCCCATCTATGCATTGATTAATATCGCCAAAAAAAAAAACAAAAAAAAAACTTAAATAACCTCCAATGAGTTGATACGTCGCAGAAAACAAATCAATCAAGCAATTTCCTTTTTTGCCAATACCTAATGGGTAATATATAGTATAACTAATCGAGAGATTAGACAATTTATTTACAACCCAAAGAATCATTCACATTATAAACATAACAATTCCAGAAGACAAAAACTAAAAAAAATACTCATTATAATTCTGCTTCTCCGTCCCTTATTTAGCACGACCATTACGCCCTGCGAATACCTCCATAAATAAGGGACAATTCGTTTTTGATCGCGTGAAAAGACGGAAAAGACATAAGAGTGAGATTGTTTGGTTTTAGGAAAATAAATAAATAAATAAATAATTGAATGACAGGACAGACTGGGCCCTAAAGCCTTGGTTTGAAACCAATCTACCGCAGAAATAGACGGCAACCTACTGCGGGAACATCTACCTAGTTAGTCATGGATTGATCCCCTAACTGTATCAATTATGAGACTCAATTTGATTGACTATTTTTACAGATTGTTAAATGTAGAGTACGTAAAGATTCGTGAAGAAAAATAAATTGAAAAAAAAAAAAGATGCAAAAAATATATAGAATATTTAATGGTAACAGAATAGGAAAAGATCAGTAATCTAAGATAATACCTAGGTAAGCATCGAAACATTTGACAATTATTTATGACGTATTTTACCAGTAAATTAAGAATGTTTTTCGTAGTAGGGATAAAGATAAAAACTTGAAAAAAAAAACGAAGACAAATAAATAGGGAGTTGCTCAGTTTTTTGCGGACATTTGCATGAATTTAGACGTAAAAGTCGTGCAAGTAGAGCTTTATTTGATAAAAAATTGGCATGGACCCCCTGTTAGCATCGCTGATTGTTTCACCACGAGGTCTGAAAGGTTGACCTATCCGAATCAATTAAGTGCCATGCATGATTCACGCTTGGGGGATTATGTCTCTTTCGATTGATGACTAATTAGGCAGATGTTCCCGCAGTAGGAACCGTTTCTTTCTGCGGTAGACTGGTTGCCAACCAATGCTATAGGACCCAGCCTGTCCTGTTATTCAACCCATAGCTGGTGGGAGAAGATATAGATTCATGCTTTTCCGAAGAGTGTTTGCACGTAAGTGAATGTAGCCAACCCAGCTGGGATTCGAACTCGGCTCTCCGATTTCTCATTCCATGCCGTTACCCATTAAACCACAACAGATGATCTCTATCTGTTTTGGACAATGTGCTATTTAAAGTGGCCTTCAGAGATTTTATTGTGTTATGGAACCATTCATTGACTTCTCTCTCGACGACGTCCCATGCGTAGTAGTCCAATTGATTCAGATGTGGAGAGCTAGGATGCTGTACGTTTGGGGGTGACATGATCATGGAGACTGTAATTCGTCCATTCTTCGGCCGAATTGACCTTATGAGACTGTGCAGAGTATTGTTGGTAGGTGTACGATGTTACTATGCTAACACTCTCTATCCAAGGCCTCAAACTTCTCTCCAACGCCACTTTAGGATCAACAGCATTGGTACTTAAGCCCCGAGGGAAGAAGTGAGGTTGCCTGGTATCTCCCACATTGCTCACGATTCCCGGAACCATCACAGTTGCCAGAAACTTTGCGTTCACAACTGTTGGAACGCCCACAGGGTATTTTGCATAACCATCTTCGGTTGGCATTTTTCTCCTCAAAGGAAAACCAAAGCATTCAAGGCCCTTAATGTTTCAACTTGCTCAACAAGCACAGACGGTTATCTTTTGTCTTTGGAGACATGAATACTCCGCTCTGCAGGACATATGACTTGTATCCAAAGCCATGATTCACAATTCTTCCGATAGATCGCCTTGAAACCTTGAGCTCCTTGGCAATGGTGTTAGTTGGCTATCTGGGGTTCTTTGCAATATTTTTCTGCACCTTTCAACAACTTTGGGTGTTTTGATGGTATTTAGACCCTTAGCAGACGTTTCACTTTCCATTACTGTTTTAGAATTCCTCCGTCAGTGGCTTCCAGTTCTTTGCGAACTTCGACAACAAACAATCTCTAAATCACTATGATCTGCCTTTAAGGCAACGATTATAACGCGTCTTTACATTTGCTAATTTAGCTTGATGTTTTTCATCATTCATTTGGAAAAGAAAATGAGAAACAGAACAAGTTAGAAAAAAAGAGCCACCAAAAGACATGTCGTCAAACTGAGCAACTCTAAATACAAAGAAGATATAGAATTTCAAATAATAACAAGAAATGAAAAGGTCATTAAAGCTCATAGAGAACGTGGGTTGCGGGATTCAATCTAAGAAGATTTGTATAAATATATTGTTATGGGGTCCTCCCCTTTTTCCATATGTGGACTCTACCAGTGTTACTTGGACGGCTGCCGTTAAATACTCAGAGTTAGTAAGGGTAGTCGGATAGTGTGAGGGTAGTCGGAAAGAGAGAGAGAGAATATACGAACGGAGATAGTGTGAGGTAGCCTCTTGTAGAAGTCAGTTACAAGCACGTAGACTCTAAGGAAGTCCTACTTCGAGACTGTATATATCTATCTGTATTTGCTACTAACCGTTTTCCTGGATTTACTAACAGTATTACCCTTTGTATGATTGTGTAAATACATTTTATTTCTTATATTTAATTATTGCGTTTGTTCTTCATTGGAGACCGAATTCATCTCGGAATCCACAACATATATAAAACGTACATTATTTACATTACTCGGACTATTGTCCTCATCTTTGTCGCCATATTTATCACAACGTTTCGGCCGTTGTATGCTCCGGCCTTCTTCAGGTGGTTGGAATGTCGAAGAAGGCCGGGGCGTACAACGGTCGAAACGTTGTGATAAATATGGCGACAAAGATGAGGACAATAGTCCGAGTAATGTAAATAATGTACATAATACCTCATCTCAGAAATATAGACAGACTATATAAAACGTCTAGACAACAAAAAAAAGAAAAAGAAAAAAGAAAACACTAAACGGAAAAAGCCATTTTAATGTCATATCCATTCAGGATATATGTTTAGGTTCCTAATAATATAACCCTGTCAGAGTTAGCTCCTCCTTAGTTCCCTAATTATTCACTAGGGGTCGCTCTCCTTACACTATAAATACTGGGCGACTTCTTGCCTCGTTCTCTTTTTCACTTTGGATTTCAGCAGACACATTTAAAAAGGTGATCTCTCACAGAGATCCACGTTTTCGCCCACTTGTGGGCAAACGCCATGAAACACACATACACGTACGTACGAACATTCACCAAAATACAAACTCTTTCACACACAACCACAAATGTTGATGTCTTTTGTTGACATATATATATATATATATATATATATATATATATATATATAATCGACTCTCCCGTCGAGATTCGACGTATGAGGGTCAAGCAGATCAGTTTCCAGGAAACCAACAGCTCGACACCGGCACATGAGATTTGATTATAGTGGTGAAGGCCTCGTGCAGGACCATCCACACTTTTTGAAGGGACGAATACAGAGACCTGGTGCACCGAATGCCACAAGGTTCCCAAACGACCCTCCGCAGGTTTTGAATTCAGAATTGTCCTTCTCCTAGACCAGTTGCCATCCAAGGCTATAGAACTGAGTCTGTCCTGCTATTTTACCCATAGCTGGAGGGAGAAGAAGAGGATTCATACCTTTCCCAAGGGTATTTGCACGTAAGTGAATGTAATGGATTCGACTGGAATTCGAACTCGGCTCTGCCATTCTTCAATCCAAGCCGCTACCATATATGCCTCCATATATATATATATATATATATATATATATATATATATATATATATATATATAGTGTATCACAAAAGTGAGTATACCCCTCACATTTCTTCAAATATTTAAGTATATCTCTTCATGGGACAACACTGACAAAATGACACTTTGACACAATGAAAAGTAGCCTGTCTGCAGCATATATAACAGAGTTAATTTATTTTTCCTTCAAAATATCTCAGAATATAGCCATTAAAAGCTAAATCCCTGGCAACAAAAGTGAGTACACCCCTTAGGAAAAGTTGTCAATATTAACATACAACATGTCAACTGTCAATATTTTGTGTGGCCACCATCATTATCCAAAACTGCCTTTACTATCCTGGGCATGGAGTTTACCAGAGCTTCACAGGTAGTCA